TTAGAATAATAGATAGTAAGAGTATTTTTGTCTTTTTAAGTGTCAAAATGGCTAAAAAAAGATGTTTTTGCCAAAACATGTTTGTGGTGCACATTTCAAAATGGCTAAAAAAAATTCTCTGATTGTGTACAGGTAAAATTGAGTTAGGGTTAATGTAGTAAAAACACATGCCAAAATGGCTAAAAAGGATGTTTTTTACAAAAGGTGGCCAAAATTTGTGTTTTGTAAATTTTTATGGCCATTTAATGGTATTAACACAAATATAAATCTATGGATCACTTCTTACATTGTCTAACTTGGTGGATAAATGCTTCTGCATCGCTAATGTGGAATCTCGAGCAAAATGCTTCTGCCTCATTAGTACGTATGGTAATCCAACAAGCGACAAAATATTGGCCGGCTTTGAAAATGAAAGCACTTCATACCAAACGTCCTTCTTTTCGTCCATTGTGATGGAGAACCGTTCCTCCCCAGCCTGCTTGTCATTAAATTAATAATTGTCATCAATTTGTAATCCACATGTTAGCAGAACACTAAGTGTTCCAAAACAAAACTTAAATCAAGTGACAATGCCATACTTTAAAAATAGTATAAACATAAATATAACATTTGGTAGTATGTGTATTCATATTTGATAACAGAGTATGATTGGTGATTAGGTCGCCCCACGCAAGAATTTTCTTAATTTTATGTGTACCTTGACAGATTCAGTTTGAGTTCATAGGATGTACTAAGAAAGACATACAAGAAATAAAAAACAAGAAAAAGAAAAGTAAAAAAAAAAANCTTACAAGCACCTAAATTTCAATCATTTGGCAAAAAAAAAAAGCAATTATCTGATCGTTGAAGAAGAATCAAATTCGCAATCACACACATGTACAGTTAGTTTAAGTAAGCGTAAAATCTCTTCATCCAACAGTATTATAACTAAGTCATCAACCACAACAAGCAAGACAGACTAGACAGTTGAAGAAAAATACCAGCAAGTGTCCTTGAAGTGTGCCACTGCCGAAACTAAACGATGCCAAAGCATTATTAGACTTCTTGCTCTCATCAACATAAACGACTTCTAGAGGCATCAAAAGCCATGGGAAGATTGCTTTAGCACAAACACAAAATTTAGCCGCTCTCTGAATTGGGGTATTGGGATCAACAAATGCCCAGTCCAGATTAAAATGCCTACAAACCAAACAATGATAAACAATCAAAACCATTGTTCTACGCAAGCCAAACAAGCTTTAAAGTATAAAAAGTTAAAAACTGCATGCAAACGCTTGAAGTGTGTGTATATATATGTGTGATTTTAAAACTTCAAATTTAATTATCCAATATTGTTGCAATTGGCCAAGTGACCCAGTGAAGATCCTGAAAACATTGATCAAAATGTACAAATTTCATTTGCTTATGTTCATAACCTCCACTTCTGAAGAGCATTTTTGCCTTTCTCAAAAGTATCGTGACCCGAGCCAACCAAAGTGCAGGCATGGTTAACTAGAAAACCGTTGTCCAATAGGTCCTTCTCCTTCTTAAGCATAGATGCAGGCTTAGCTGTAGCACCTTTATATTTGCTGTCATAATTGAAGACACCTGACCTGTATTTTTATCATACATTGTAAGCTTAACTGAAAAAATAACATGACGATAAAAATGGAAACCAACAACCATAGAACGACAAAGAAAATTAACTTACTTGTTAATGCATGATTTCTGCTCTTCACGAGATGGACGCGACCAGCACAAGAAAACCATCTCTCTCGATATAGTCAGCACTAAATAAAACATTCATCCATACAATACGAAACAAAATACAATAAGAACTAATATACACTAGTAACTATCTAAATTCGCATGTTAAAATGTTCACACAAAAGGATATCCAGCTATTAGACGACATAATATTGAGTGAAAATAGATAATTTTGGTCCTTTTGGAAGGATGAAATAGTAAATTTCAAGTAAAAGTCCATGTAGCATGAACCCAAACACTTGTGTAACTAAAACTATAATAGTATCAACTAGACAACTGCTTATCCAAATTCAACATGCATCAATAAATCTTGGGCTGTCGACTCTTTCCTATCAAGAAATCTTGGGCTGCTTGTCCAAATTCAATACTCATCAAACAAGTTAACAACAAAAAGTCTCAAAATGTCATTGGAAATACCAAACCAACCCTTAACCTGGAAATTTGTCAAGATTCGGCTAAAAGAGAGA